CGGACTGAAGCTGCGGGAAATAAAGTGAGTGATGTCAATGGTATAAGTAGTGGTTGCCGTAGGGGTTGCTTGGCAGTGTTTCGTTAGAAAGTGTCCGCTGGCCGCCAGTTCGACGAGGCGGACGATACAAAAAGACGGATGTGGCGAGTGATTAACAGCGCTCGAGCGACAATGCCTAAAGGGAACGCTGTTACGAACAAATATCAGTTGACGAGCTCGGGAGCAGCTTTTAGCAATTACAGCTGTAGAAGCAGGACTGGTTATCGAGGGACCTTCTCGTTACAGCCAGTGAAACTCCGTTGCTGGCACTCTTCGACGAAAAGCTGCTGCTACTAAACTTATTGCCTAAAACATTAATAGGAAAAGAGCTAAAGTCATTGAACGTGCGGCAGACAACTCAACCCGACAAAAAGCACAGACGCGACTCTGTTGACCAGTATACAGAAGCGGAAGTCTTGACACCTGCTCTGAACTCAGCTAATTCAACCCGACCTGACGGTTCGACTATAAAACGTCGATTTGTTGATCACCTACCGCTCGTTCGAACGTTTCTCATCGTGCCATAAAGCCAAATCGCTCATTTAGTACAGAACTTCTCAGTGTGTTCATGGTTTGTGCTTGATGCTTGCATGACCAGTGCCTAAGTCAGCTAGCGTCCCACTCGGTCTGTGTAATCCTCTATTAAGTGTTGACTTCTTAGCCGTTTCCTGCCGCGATAACAACAACAACATGCGAAGGCCACAGCCGCAGCCGTAGGAAAATGTTCCTTATTCTAAGTCGAGGAAATCCGTGAGAGCGCGTACAAGAACTAACGTAATGAAAAAGACAGGCGTCGTCTCATGTCGTTCATTCGTCGCATGTCAATGTGTTCATCATTGTAACATGGCCTTGTAGTCGCCCGCAGTAGTGCGCCGTGGCAGCGGCGCCCAGAACATTCTTCGAACAATTGTGATAGTTAGGAAAGTAAACAGCCATTGCAGCTGGTGCGGCGTTCGCAGGTTCATCTTGTACATTAACCACGAACAACGAACATTGTTGTTTGTGGAAACAGCGGAAATGGACGGTAACGCCCATCTTCTGTCGAAGTGCTCGACGCAGGAGGACGTGTACGCGCTCAGTGCTGATATTGGCCAGGAAGTCGAGCGACTTGTCGATGGGTTCGGAGTGGACGCGGCGTCGAGCCTTGTTCCGAAACTCATTCGCGTCCTTGAGTTGCTCGAAGCAGCTGTCCAACAAAATGAGACCCTCAGAGGAGAGGCTGACCAGTTGTTTCAGACAGTATGCCAGCTAGAATATGACAAAAAGGAAAAAGCCCAGTTTCGGAAAAAATTCGACCAGGTAAATACGGCAATCTCTAACGACAACAGCAACAACAATTATCTATACACACAGTAAAGCAACCTGTATTTCGACAAAGAGAAAATTAACGAACTAGCAGAAACTGTTGCGGGTTAATAGATTGAGCTAATTCTACTCATGAGTCGTTGTCAGCCACCGTTTGTATATAATAAATGCATACATTAGATAAAAACGACGGACAAGCTGCGAGCTGTCGTATATGAACGACACGTGTATGTGAATTGTATTAGGTGTTGCATGCTAAAGCCTTGAGCGTATTGCGTCCAAACGTTCTTACGCGTCTTGGGAATTGTTAAGGGTCGAACCAATGTTGAGCATGTTACGTTGGCTAGCGTTATAGGGATAAGTGTAATAAATTCTAGTAATCTAATGGCTGGTTATTGTTCCTGTCATGTATTTGAAACGTGTGCTGTTTCATTAGAATCATTGAGCCGAACCACAGCAAATAAGTCTGTGTCTAACTTGGAAGTTTTATTCATGAAATGTAAAATAGTCCTTCATTTGCGATTCTCGTTAGTATTGCCTTATAGATTATGAAAACATCACTATTAGGCTATGGGTAAATTTGACTATCCACATCTTGGATCGAGACTGTTTTTATAGGTGAACCCATGTTAGTTGCATTCAAGGACTGCTTGGCACATGCATGCTTGACATGATGAGGATTGAAATAGCTGATACGGTATGAAATAAAGCAAAATCAAAGGTTGGTCTCACTCATTGAAATTATGAATTGATTGTGTACATTAAGTCCGAGTGGGCGAGAATTTTTCGTAATTATTTTTTCTGATTCATTGAAAGCTAACGACACGATCAACCAACAGTCCAGCTTCGAGCGAGGTTTTTGCAAGTACATGTTTTTTTCTTTTGGTTGTTTAAAATAAGATCGTGCTCAAAAATTAATGCTCAATATCTGATTCAGATATCAAATGTTGCACTTCGGTCTTTACGTTGGAATTGCTCAATTTGGTACGCGCCATATTCTGTTCGAACAAGTCCTCGGAAGATACTTAGGCTATCTTTTATAGAACCGGTAATTTGTAAACACAATATGTAAGACGCTAGATCTCTAAGCGAGTGTATATGGTGTTTCGCGTGTACAGACAATATCACAATAGCCACCGGCACTGAAAACTGACGAAAGTGTTCCATGCGTCTAATCGATATATGTTTATAGTCTAACATAATCGTTTTCAAATGGAAAAGTTTACCTTTCTAGCGCCACACAACTGAAACTTTCGAGTATCGTTTCAGTGCCGACGAAGCATTCGCCGTAAATTGTACCGTACCGCGTATTATATGAACTTTTTTTTTATCGTGGGGCTTCATAACCTGACGCCTCGTTTTCAAAATTACGTTGCTGTTCAAGCTGTAGCCTACGAATGTATCTACAATACTTTGAATGTAAGCTATACACTCCATCAGCACATTGCTTATCTGTAAATATGCTTCTCTAAATCTTCTATTAAACAATAACCAGCATTTTCCATTCTCTTCCCTTTCGTGGTTATATTAAGCAATCATCTTTTTTCCTTGTCTGCTTCTTTCTATACGGCTCGAAACTCGGGTGAGCACAGTACATAGGTTAGGTGCTCCCAACTGTTTTCTATTGCTCGCAATAGGTACGTTCACCTGGTTTCACTAGATGCCGATTTCCTACTCAGTAATTGTACATGGAGCTCCCTCCGGCCAGGCGCAAGCAACTGAGGCCCACATGTTTATTTAAATCCTAGTTTCGTACCAGGATCCCGTTTTTGCTAAGAATGAAGTTTTCAGGAATCGTGAAGCCACTGATCAATGGTCATGAGCTTTTGTCTTATGGTATTCCCTGTCTTTCCGGTGCAGCTTCTTATTGGTCGACAGTGTGCCCAGCGTTCGCATGCACGAACGACAGATGGCGGGGTGACTTATCTTTGCATCCTAATCTATGAACAGGAAATGGCCCTTAGAATGAGCTGTTAATCGCTTGATGGAATCGACCCTCACGTATCGCTCTATAGTAGAATCTTCACGATGACCATATGCAGTGGGTATTACGTCTTTGTTCGACCATCCTATTGGCTACCTGGTAGTTTCTACTATTGCAGATAAAATAAAGATTCTGTGAAAATGTACAGGACGTTCATGTATATTTTGTCCTCGGCAGCCTTTTGTGAAAGACGTTTCTTGGATATGCCATATATATAATGTTATCCATTGAATGTATGTCACTGGTCGGGTCTCCTCATGCAACTACCACATGATCACTTTACACAGGAATATGCCCACAGATGCGCTCGATTCGCTGAGCTCATTATTTTGCAACTACCCGATCAGAACGCAAGACTCTGTGGGTGCATAAAAGAATTATGTTAATATATTGTAATTAGAGGTGAGCAGCCTGTGCGCATGGGCTACACCTAACGGTAGTTGTACCAAAAAGTTGTTATCATTTTCTTTGTAAAATGCGTCCATTACGTATCATTTTTGTGAAACAACTTACCTATTAGAATTTGATGTGGCATTGCGGGTTACGCCCGTTAGGGGGCGTTTGTAACATATTTGAAAGTGAATACGATGACTTTTCTTTCTATCTATCTTGTCATAAAAGTCCTCCGTTTGTGACTGATGTTCTCCTTGACGACTGACAGTAAACTGTTGAATTCCTGTTTTGACACGTAAATAAGAACAACAACTTGCATAGTTATTTACTTCCTACGCGAGTGGAAACTGTAATTAATAGGCCACTTCTTATAATAAGGCGCATCGAGTGCAAAGGTACCTATTTAAAGCTCGCAGAATGAGACTGAAATAACAAAGAACTATTTGGAGTATCTTTTGAAGGTGTAGATAATTATAAGATTGGCGTTTTTATTACTTCATTTCTTCATTTTTTTGTCTTCTGATGTAATATACTGTTAGAAAGCTCTACATCATTGTCATCCTTCTTCTTCAAAATTCTTTCCCTGCTTCGATTTTCAAAAATGCCCGTGTCGAGTAGCACAAGAGCAGTGTGATTTTTCTTTTGTTTTGCACTTCGGTCAAAGAAACCGCTGAAATAACTAAACTGATTTTTTTTTAATCGATAAAGCCCAGCCCAATTGATATTTGTAAAACACTTCAGATGGTGCCATTGTGTAACTTCAATGGGCGCCTACTTCTACTGCTCGCATTTCGAAATATTTAGCTATCGGTCAAAGTTTTTCGACTTCATTAGTGCTGAAGCTTTTGTAGTAATGACACTTCTGATCGTGAATCAAGTAACACGAGTCCGAGTGGCGTATCGGTCGCTCGGATATGGGAATCTATATATAAAAGCAAGTAACATAAAGCAGGCTACCTTGTATCTCCTATTATAATTAGCCCTCAATCTCTGCGCGGTTAGATTCCTTGTCGGAAAGAGTGTTACGTTAGCGCATACATTAACCTCTTTAGCGGTCGATTCAACGCTTGCATTGCCCGTGCGCCCATCGCATTACGAATCATCCGTAATCGCGGATAGACTTATAGCAAGTAGTGCCAGACAATCTTTTTTTTTTCTCATTAACATCAAGTGCCCATACGCGCTGAACAACGTTTTCATCTGTTACATGTTGGGTTATTTTAGTTGCCGACAATCTGAAAAATCATGTGTTAGGAAATATACTTCTAATGAAAAACTTCTCTTCCAAACAAAGGCTATGTTAGACATTAGCTAGTTTGCCAAGGAATAGCCAGACCTTTTGCGGTTTGATTGCGTGGTCGTTTTTACCATCTTTTGCATTTTAAACGGTCGAAGTATTCAGTTGCCACTACTATTTTTTATGCCGCTGCTCCGGGTGAGGTATCGTCGTCGATTCGACGACATGCTAGCGGCACTAACGATACTGTGGTCTGCATGGCCAGACGGAAATATCGTGCGGAGGGGGCGGTACCGGGAAAGATTTAGCTTCGTCACGGCTTGCCAGAGTTCTGGATGCCTTCAACAGCTTTCACCGTCAGAAAGTTGTTCAAAAAGCGTGAACACTTCTACCATACTGCTGGAATCGCCATTGCCGTCGCTCTTGCCAGAAACGATGTTAGACGCTCAGCCACAATCATGCACTGTGTGGCCACTAGTCGCTATCGCAGTCAGCGTTCTTCCTCACTAACACTACGGACAGGTATCAGTACAGACATGAGGTGTTGGGATGATGCGCGCGGGTTGGCATCATGAAATCGGCAGCAGAACGTATACGATACATAAGGCAACTGTACCTGTTCCGCTTCTCCCTGACGCTCGCCTTCAAACAACAAGCATATCAGCTACTACATACTACCCGCAATAATAACACTATTAACATCAAACACCTACTATGCATATTGAGGTAAAGGCAGCAAAATGCATTGACAGGCAGAAACAATGGGTCCGTCGATCATTCAATGGTTGTGTATTGCCATATAGGGAAGTCAACACGGACGGGACCTAAGCGACAAGCGATAGCAAGCATGCAGTGACCGGACGCCCGGTTTTGACTCATCCGTCCACCAAGTTCTGTTGTGTACATCACAAGCAGCTATTATCGTCAGACATCGCTCCTCATGGTTAGACATGTTGACATGGCTCAGCTAGCCATATGGGTACTCTGCAATCATGATTTGGACAATCGCATCAATTTTTTAGCGAGCGGCAGCAAATCAGCCGCATGTTGACTATTAGGACTACTTCGACGACAGCCGCATGGTGGCTTTTCGGACACTAACCGATATACGTATAGTGCCTGTAGAAGGCAAACGAGTCTATGTATTTTAGAATATACGGCATACGTTTACATACTGTATCGATATTACTCAGCGATGTTCGATTGTCAGACACAGATTGTGCGTTCCTGTTGCACCAACGATTGTAGCCGTGTTCAATGTTTGAGGGACGTAGAATGAATCGTCGGGTTACCCGGACGGAGTCTCGATGCGCCCCTGGCACGAACCAGGCAAATGACCAACCATGCATGACTATCGTCGGCCACGACCTAGTATATTATACATGCAGTTACTCTATTAAACTTAAACTTAAATGGGAAATCCTTAGAAAAAATCCCCACTAGCTATAAGCTGCAAAAGCTCTACCCCTCAGTTTCGAGTTCGCTGAAATATATATGTATACGCTGCTTGATGAGAACATTGTATTTTGACCATGCTGAACGGAGCTTTGATTACGTTACACTAGCGGAACACAGTACGCTAGCCTTTAGTTGAGTTTCTCTTTTTCTTAGATATAATGGAAAAATGCAAGCGTCTTCAAGCGGTCATGAATATCATGTATACTACAAAGTGTAGTAGTAAGTGGTACGCCACTTTATTAGTTCCCTATCACGGTTAAACCTAAACATTCTGATAATCGATCGTTCTTACAAACACTGTTTTTAACTATTTGATCGACGTGACCCATGAACGATATTGACTGTGATTTTTATCTCCCTTAACTTAAAACCTAATGCCTTAGTAACATCTTTAAATACGAGCGCTAACAATTTTCTAATTTCCATTGTTAATACATTTGGAGTAGAGGAATTTCCCCTACACGGTGATTCTTTTTTATTTGTTCTTATAAGGAATCGGGTAGACATTGGGCCCGACGCTTGGGAATATTTCTCGAATCACGGTCTCGTACGTTACATTACGCCGTTGAGCTGTTACAAACGGATGAATACTACAAGGAGGATGATACCACAAGTCGCTGTCGTTAAAAACGTTCGACACCGTCATAATATAAACAACCGTTCGTCATGGCTGCATGCATTTACATGCCACGATTAGGCTGGGAATGCGCTGAGTTGGGGTACCGTTGCTGTTCATATCTTTTTGTTTCATTTAAAGGTACCTTGCCAACACGCAAGCGAGTCGTGAAAAGAAATCTGCTATTGTCATGTCCAGATGCTTGTTATGAGGGATGTACACATTAATTTTACACAAATCAGTAATATATGAATTAAAGTAATCTGTATACTTAGGAGCTATCTAAAAGCTTTCCCTTATTGTACATTGCGTGACCACCAACGATCGCTCTATTGTGAGCGTTGAATAATACGGTTACCCGCGAATAGTGTTTATATGCAGCTGGTATTTTTTCGAAAGGATGGCCTAAACTGCTCGTGCTAGAAGGATCGGGCATGTTCTTGGACAAAGATAAGAGTGTCTAGATTTTTGACTGCAGAACATACTCTGATGGGCAGACCAAAAGGAAATGGATGGTGCGACCTAATCGGTCCTATATCTAGACACTATATTTACCGAACAAGCGATTTAAAACTGTACCTGTTCGTACGCCACTGCCGATAGACCATTCCTGGGTTAATTTATCAGAGTCATCTATCTTATACACTTTATTATTATTAATTGGCTTGTCGTACGTATACGAGGTCGCTCCTGATATGAACAAGATAGCGATATGGTAGAGTGAACTTTACCCAAAACACAGATTCAGACATGTGTCGTATTAAAAAGATGCCATCTATTATCGGGTTTTTATGGGAACGTTTTAAGCAAAAACGTTGAAACACGTTTTGTGAAACAAAGACATATTTTTCAATAGCGAATATAACAACAAAAGCAGATTTTTTAGTTAGTTTATCTAATGTGGAATCGACCGTTTGATCTTTAATATACCTTTATATACAACAACTTTAATGTACCTGAAGGTTAATTCATCCAACAGGCCACTCTTTTAAGGCAGATGAAGCTACTGTAACACCGAGTTTACGCTTATCTCTGTTATATTATCCTAGGAAAATAAATCTGAAACGTACTCGTCATCTTTCACCTATACCGTGCAAGTTAAACTATCTGACAAGTTAGCTTTTTAAGTCGACTTTTACCTAACTTGGCGCTAGTTGCTTCATATTTCGAAAGAGCGATTCTGGGCTACCAGAGACACTCAATAATTTTTGCTTATAGGAAAAATTCTCAATCTAGAAATCTAGAAATAGGTCTTAGTAGGAGTCTTTTAGCTGCTCTATAGCTTCTAGCGTAATAGTCGATGATATTGCACTTCTCCCTCTTTTTTCGAATCGATCCGAACGACCTAAGTAGGCATGAAAATATCGGATCATTGATTCGCATATCTGGCCCAAAGGAAGTTGAAGGTCAGTTGCAACGTTACTCAGAAAGAAGTCAATATGACCTTTAAATAGATGAACTAAAACGTAACTACGTCCCCAATAGAAGAGTTCCTAGTGGGTGTGTTTGATATGTCAGCTTCCATCTGTTTGAAAAACAGTATATATATACATAAGAATGACATGAAGTCTGTTCTTAGTATGGAACCAGTTCACTAATAACATGTCAACGTGCATCGTGATACGACAATGTACCATTTTTGTGCCTAGTATGACAAATTACCCAAGTGTCTAACTAACGTGCGGCTACGTAAAAATTTTACAAAAATAAAATAAAGCACAAAACCCTATGAAACAAATTCCACATAGGTGAAACCTCTCCGTAAGAGCTCCTAAGGTATCCAGGACGTTTGTTACTCAACGAGAAATATAAGTGTTTAATTAAGGTTAAGTCACGATATTATGATAATACTAAACACATCTATCAAATAACGAAAAATCCGTCAATATTTTTGCGTGTTTTCAGGAGCTCGAACAAATTGAAGATATGTGGCGTAGTGAAATGAACGATTTGTCGGGTCTCGTAAGTCGGCTACAGGAGGAGAACTCGAGACTCAGCACGTCGCTACGGGAGAAAACTAACCTCCTTGGAGAAGGCCATGATGACTCGGATCGTTCCGAAGGACACTTCAGGTTCGTGATTTTTCCAGGTTTCTTCTTTTGCGTCACTTACTTTTCCTAGTAAAATGGCAGCCAGCTTTTCTACGATTCTTTCTATTTGTGAACTGACTCCAATATATTCATTCGTGATGGTGAATTTGTAGAATTCATATTTCTTCAAATCGGATATTTGTATAACTTTATAGCGTATTTGATGCAAACATTGACAACAAGTTCGCCAGTTGAAGGGTTGCACGCACAGAAAGATTCTTTTGTGGCATAAATCAAATATTCGGGGATGTTGGCGTTGCAATAGCAGCAAACAAACGACTTAGAGAACACTTAAAGGCAAAAAATCATTAACAGGTGTGATGAATAATTTGGCACGTGTAGAGCGTTGAGGTAGTATTTGCCGTTGTGATGAGATCATGCCCTGACAGTGGTGACAGTACCTCGACAGGATGCTGAAGCCTGATATAAGGTCGGTTGACAGGATGACCTGTTCAGGCCTTACTTGACTAAGGCAAAAAACACACAGTCGAAGATTGTTAACCACACTAAGGAATTCATGATTAAAAGTTGCAATCTAATCTGATGCTGATTCAAATTTCGGCTGGGTAAAACATTGAGGGATTTTCAAACTGCGGCGGCAAACAACTTCATCAGTCGTATTTAACATGTTCGTTGAGTATTTGATTGTAGCATGATAATCTGACAGCAGTGAATGAGCAAAGCACAGAAAGAAGGTTCCATATTTCCAGATGTTTAGGTTATAGAATGTGAGCGTAGCTCCGTCGTCGAATAATGTGCCACATACAGCTGGTTAGCTTTGAAAACTCGCTAATTTTTAATAGAGAAACAATTATATTAGATGTCATTGTTAATCTCAGGCAAGTAAACCACTGTACTACTAGCAGCATGCAATAGAGTTCTCAGATTAGGCGAAAATAATATCCGCTATGAGATACATTACAGCCAATCGGGCGTTTCATTCAGGTGAAGGGAAATCCTGATGAAGTAGATTTGCTCGAAGTAGTTTACGTTTGATCCTGAGCTTCGTGTACGCTAGAACGATTCACCTAATGCATGAAAATCGCTCAGATTTTTCGTATCATCGATGTTAAACCACGCTTCTACAATTAACTATGCTAAACATGCATAGTTAGATAAACCGTTACATACTCGGTATTTCATTGTCGAAAAATGCTCGATCTAAATAATGTGTTTCCCATTGTATTTTCAATCCTTTTCAGTTATGTAATCAGTTAACCACTTCCCAATAAGAGAATACTAATAGTCTATGCTGGCCTTTTTTTGCTGATCACCTGTCATTTTGTCAGATCTTCAGCAGCAATATATCGGCTTCGTTGTGTCGATAAAAAGCTATCTGGAGCACCCGCTAACTTCAAGTTTAGAAACCCAGGGTTCTAGTGTCTCCTATTTTTTCCAGAGCAAATGGTTGACTGGCTAAATTGATTAAAGAAAGTACTTGCTTAAGATTTACTCTAGTTAGACATTAGATTAGCTTTTAGTATGAAACTAATCAACACTTTATACTAATAATTGATGTAACGGTTTTCAGTCTAATTTTTTATTTTCCTTGTTCTCGTGAATATGAAGAGTGAAGAACAACATAACATCTTGTGTGTTTTGTACCTATTTTTCTAGTAGGTCCGGTGTTACAAGCCTAGCTGATAGCAGTCACGGAGGAGGCGGTCCGGATAGCGGTGTGTTTACCAATGGAGGCCTGTCGCAGTCAGATATCGATATGCTCAATCGGCTCAAGGAGGCCTTCAACAAACAGGCCAGCCAGCTGCACTCGTACGAAAGTGAACTCGCACAACGATTAACGGATATTCAGAGCGTGAGTTTTATTATCTTGGGATATGCATGTCCGTACTTGTAAGATATTCGTTATAATTGTTATTTTTATATATACATATATAGCGTATGCTCGAATGACGTACGCTTTTACTTATGACTTCTAATCAATTTACATGATACTAACAAGAATGTTGTTTACACCTTAGGTATGAGTAATTATTCACGGTTGACATTGTCATCGTTGCAGCTAAAGCATCAAGTCGAGCGTCTTCGACGGAGCGGGTTGGACAGTGTACAACGGGTCCGTCAGTTGGAGCTGCAGTTGGGACGGTCCGCAGATGAGCGTGAACACCTCATCCGTCGACTAGATGAAGAACAACGTGAAAAGGAACAGTTACGCCAGGAAATCAATAAGGAGAAGCGAGATGCTCAGGATGAATTGCTCGAAGCTGTTATTCGGCTTTCACCGCCTAGTCCCACCGAATACAAAAAGGTAACTAACTTGCTGTTTACAGAGATGAGCAATGCCAGTTTTGATTAACCTGCCGTGGATTAGGTACCTGCGTTCACAAATAACGACGTTTTCTTTGGTACTGTGGTTCTTTTTTTAATACGATAGAATTCAATACATTTGAGTACAATTTTCTTGTCTTTTTGATGCTGGCTAAAGTAGATGTGCCAAGAGAAAAAAGAACTTGAAGCTCGAGTACGATTTCTCGAAGGTGAACTGGAGTTCTACAAGCCGCCGGTTGCGAAGACGCCTTCTGAGGATTCTGGCGGCGAGGAGACGGAAGCACCTGAATCATCACGAAAAAGCCGTTACCCACCGGATGACGTGGATCTACCCGTTCAGGGTCCGATCAATCGCGAACCTGAAGATAAGCTCGACTATTCGGATTTTTCCCACGGGGGCAGCTCATTGAGTATCAAACGATTGTAAGTTCTCCTATTGTACGAACATACCATATTAACTAGTGACTTTTGAAATGTTTGTATATATCTATTCAAAGCTTTACATTTAACAATTATCATCCTATCCTAACGGTAAATGCCTGCACTTTCATTTTTCTACTTTCTGCTAGTCAATATGCCTTTCAATATGCCAAATACACATTGAAAATGTCCAGTATAAATATAACTCTAAATAGTTGTTCATTATATATCGTTTTCTAGATCAGACCCTTGTATTATTGAAATAACTCAATCTCATCGAATTATTTTTTTTATTTATCTTGCGTTGATGTTAGTTAAACTTTGCACAGCAGTTAGAGGTTTATATTTTAATCTTACCAACTAGATCATGTGCGAAGTAACCGCATGCTTACTCTGTGCGATGTTCAATGTTTAACAAGAATATCTAGCTCTGATTGAGGTAAAGTGAGTTTGTTATTACACGTAGTTGACTAGAAATTGCCAAATTTCTGTAAAAAAAAAAAATTTATCCGCTTTATATGTGTATCTCCAGTACTTTGTCAGATGCTTTACCATTTAATTGCATTATCGGCCGACACATTTGAATACAATTCTAAATCATTCGTGTTGATTACGTAACATTCTGCACGAAAAATACCCTCGTAAACTATCAACTAAACCTGTGTAAATGATTGAATAATAGCGCATGTTCCGCTCTTCCGAGCCCGTAAGCTTGTGAAATATATTTGATCACACCATTTAATTGAAGAGTTTCATGATTCTTCATCGTCTTCACCGGTGTCCTCAGCTAAGCAACGTTTAACTTATTTAGTGTATCAATAGGAGACAGCTAAGGCTTGACCTAATCAATGCTCATGCCTAGCGAGATCTACCATACAGCTACTAAGTGAGCCATATTCCATTTTAGCTGCTTGCGAACATAATAGAACAGATTCATTCTGAGTAAAGGTGATCAGTGTCGCTGAGTTACGCACCCGTTTGAATTCGCGCAATTAACAGCTGCAAAAAAAAACACTCAACAATGGATGCATTTGGCTAAATCGATAGGAAATACAAACTTGTAAGCTCATTGTTACGCATACGTTAGTCGTGCGTAACTTTTTCCTCCCTTTAGGGTGATGCGTTACACAAGGCTACTTCGGTTGGACAGTTTCTGATTTGCCTTGAGGGGTGTCCTTACGGGAAAGGGCCGGAAGCAAGGCAGAGCAAGAAGATGGTAAGACGGTTTGAGAAACCTGGACCTAACCTACTATGTGAACGAAAGATTACTGTCGGTAGACGTAATCGTGATGACTACTTTATGTGTGAGTTTTAATCTAATTACACTTCCAGCTAGCCTTAGCATTGGCCTAAGAGCCGACAGCTGTGAGAGGTCGCAGCGCACCTATATTAGGCCGTCCAAATAATGAGACAGTGTCGTTCGCGTGTGAAAATTCGTACTGCTTCCAAACGTGCATGCAAATTTCTGACAAATTCAGCCAGGCCTTGGTTGGGGCTTGGTCCTTCAGTAGGAAGCTATGCGAATTGGGGTGTCTTTTTGATATGCAAAAGTGCCTTTGAGATAGAAAATAGACTAAAGACTTTCATAAAAGACTGAAAGGGAAATCAAGTCGAGGTTCATGATACGCTTAATATATGGTGTCAATTCAATATCTGATAATATATGTGCTGTAATATATGGTCAGACCAGTATATAGCTCTACAGAGAATAACTGGCAGTTTGAACTTAGCGCCGGCTAAGCAATTCATTTGAGAAAGTAAGTCATTAGCATACCTAAGGGCCGGATAGAGCACAGATCGTTTACTACATTTATAGCGGACTTCGTATAGTAGAGGTTTCGAATACACCAAAATACCTATTATAATGTGACCCATGAACACATTAGCATGTAACCCTGTTATAGAATAGATCGACCTTAATGCGACGATATCATTTTTATTCTGTCTACTACCCTCCCTCCCTTCCTCTCTCGCTCCCCTCCTCCTCCTCCTCCTCCTCCTCCTCCCTGCCTTTGTCGCCTAGCTTTTAGTCGTAGATAATCCCTCGTGCATGGCTGACTAAAGACCAATTTCTCGGATGATGAAATGTACTAGTAGTCTCGACCCTGAGACTGATTGCGCTGGTTACAGTTTATCCGTGCCGTCGTATTTGCATGAGATCATTGTTCATATTTTGCTTTGTAATCTATACGATGCTACTTCCTTGTCTTTTATCGTATGTTATAATGTCTACATGCGGTAGGATTTTCTCAACATGGCTAGATTTATGTTCTGATACAGCACGTTTTATAGGTCTTATGTTTACGTTGGCATAGCAGTTAAGTACGCATATAGAACACAAACAGGGTGTTCATTACTTTATATATACTCTAAACGAAATAACCTAGCTCAAATAGCTGATAATCGATAGCATTCTTATAACAAAAAATTTGCCGGTGCACCCGACAGGAAGAACGAAACGGATGTCGATTATAAGCTGGTCTTATAAAATGTAAAGCGTGGACGTTTCTAGAACTCCATTATATTTCACAGGAGACTGTTTAGATCTCTCGTCAGTTTTTTAACATTCAACGTCAAAAGACGTCATTGGACGCTATCTTCCTATCAGTTAACTGTCTGATATTAACTCTGAACGCATTTCTAATCGACTACCCCTTAAGCATATCTCAATTGCTATATATATGTGTATCTTCCTCTATCGTTTCATAGTCGTTATCAATTTGCTCTCTTAAATTATATTTCCGCACTTTATCGTATTCCAGTTCTAACAATGGTTTTCTATTTTCCTCTGCGCTTTGGTTTGTCTCGTTGAATCTTTTTTTCTGTGTGCGTACTTGTGCGCTTACCAACCCGGCTTTCTGTGGATCCGGTTTATTTTTTCTCGCGCGGAACTCGAAAAACCCTCAACATACGTACGGTATCCGAACAGCTTTCCAAAACTGTTATGGTCATCGCGGAGGAGCTGATGGACATGCGTGCTTGCCAATCACCACCCTCGCCGTCTTCCGTGCCGCCAGAAGTACTGCCTCCAGAAAGTGTTGGGTGGCTCGAGCCGATTTTTTCTGGACCGCGGAGCGTGCTATTCGTGTTCGACGTGGCCGTCGCCCCACCGTCGATCGGGGAGCTCCTCAACGACCGGAAAAACAATTCTTGATCATTCCTGCGTGATACTGTCGGCACTACTACAAGTATAGAATTACAGAGAGTACTAGTATAAACATAGTACACTTGAGAGAAGTTTCACCGTATTTAAACAGCAAAAAATGGCAGAGCCATATAGCATACATATATATATATATATATATATATATCGAAAAGCTGAAGGTCGAATTGTTATTGCACCCGAATATATAGACCAGCGTAACAAACAGTAATTGTGCAGGTGTATCCGGCGACGTAGATCTAGCTCGGTAAAGTAGTTTGCCGATCAAATGCCAGTTATAATTACCGTCGTCGATGTTACAGTTAACATGCTAGTAAAGTGCAAAGAGAACCTGTAAGTTAAAGAACACTTGAGCGGAAGGTAAACTGTAGGTCGTTTACTCGTTGTTCATAGTTCGTACCAAGTGAGCATGTAAACGAATTTAGATATTTTGACGATAGGTGTAATTATTGATGCTGCTGCTGCTGCTGCTACGAAATTGGGAAAATTTGTAGATTTGGTACATCAAAATCGTAAATTGTGGATCATCTGTAAATTCGTAATGCTTAAAACATATAACGACGATGTTCCTGACTATCAAGAAGCGAATTGGAAGGGGGTTCACTCTTCCATGTCCAACCAGAGAATTTTCATGTTCTTGTTCGGCCTGCGAATATTCCCACGCACATGCCCACGTAAGCTTTGTCATATACACCCTAAACGTGGTTTTTGGCAAAACCAGATGATGGGCACCATCGGCCACCGGAACTAACAATATTAGCTATGCATGCTGAAATAGTGTTCTTCCTTTACTTTAGGATCAGCCGTCATACGTTACCAAGAGAAAGACGGGGAGAAAAGTCTGCCGCGATGGGGCCAGCAGCGGACCGTGATGGCTACATGCGGTACGACTATAGCTAGAGAACCCTGTAGATAGAAATCTAGGGTCGAAAGTATGTAGAGGTCGCTACGCTATGCAAATGCCTTGCATTTGATTTGCACGACAACAAAATGCATAATGGCAAACATTTTAGGCCGCAGACGATGCCCTATGGTCACCACTATGCTAGTAGATATTCCGACGGAAGGTTTGAGTGGCTAGTAAGAATCTGGAGACGCGATGGACACGTAGCGTGGCCATTTTCAACGACGATATTGTTAGAGATTCGAATAGGAATCATCTGTAGCACGTGTGCCTCCTAGTTTGCAAATGACTGACTGGTCTGATTTACCAATAGCTGCTCAACTATATAAGTAGAAAGGTAAAAATACTTATCGACGACACACATACAATGTAGTAGTTATTGGTTGGAGCTCTGGTGTGACACTGTGCGTGTGTGAACCTAAAAAACTATGGCCCTTGCCACCCATCGTCATGCACCCTACAGGAGATCGTAACGCTTATTATAAGTATAATGAATGTTGAGTATAGAACGACTGTGACATGCTACAACGTCAGTGATGTATCTGCTTAGAAGACTAGTAGATTATTTTTTCGCATTGTGCTTACCTTGTTAAAATTATAGGAGAAGCAACAGTAGAAACGATTAACTGGCTCTGCGCTCGTAAAGTGAACGATCTTGGGGCAAATATGGGAACGCGCAGCCCATAAGAGATACTTAATATAAAAATGACGGTCGCATTCGAATCTGCTGTGTACAAACTGAGTGCTGTCAGATCCTACGAAGTAGTTTATTTAAATATAACAGTATACGATTCCCAAAACTGTGTCATCAATCATATATTTATGTAAACAAGGTAATGATCCGTCTCTAGTAGTTTGTATATTTAAAAACGTATCACGAAAGAAATACGAAGAAACACTGCAATGCTGATTAGAACATTGTGTAGGAGCCTTACAAATTCTTCAATGGACAGCGACGCTTTTCGAAATTAGTTAGTTTATATGCACACACGTATACACACAAGGTAGCGCGAGTAAACTGAGCATTTGTTATCCAACATAGATACCCCACACGGTGACTATAAATTTAAGTTTGTCTGTTCCAATACGTTCTTTATGTGATCTGCAAACTTTTTAATAGCAGCCGTGCTTCAGGCCATACTGGTGTCAAATACGAGGGCGAGTTAAAAGTTCCGAAAATGCAAGTCACTGAAGGCGATTCAAAAGTTTAAAAAGTGCAGAAAGGCGCAATCTTAGAAAGCTTAACCGGTCGTCCTGCCTCTCTGCACGACCCAGTGGATATTCTCTTCTCTAAAACAGCCATTAATTTCTATATGAAAATTCAGGGGTGTCAAAAGTGACTTCCTGAGCCCAACTCTATTGAAGATTTTTCGGTTCCCCTCAGATTTTTTAGAAGCCGGAAAAAAGTGAAAATAGTGTGTGATTCCAGCTAGGAGGCGAAGTTCTTATAATTCGTAGGGGGTGTGCATAGGAGCTGCCGAAAGATTGGATAATAGCTAATCTTCACTTAAATTTCGAAAACGACGCACCGTTTTTCGGTTTGACGAATTTACTGGCTTTCACCGAATACTGAGTGTAGCGGATAAACGCGTGCCCGTTACGATAAACAACCTGCCTAGGTTTTCCACCGCATCGTTTTATATATTTACGTATATCTGGTGCTACTATACTAATACTTGTGTGCGTCAGTACTGGATAAATCTATATAAGTATACAACAGAAACATATCCCTATGTCATTATATATATAATATCACTGTCTCCTTAGTGATGTAACGAGGACTGGCTTGAAGTAGCAATGGGTTTTTAAAACACTACATAGGTCGAGGGTTTTATCGTATCGATGTACAGTCTTCGTTGAGCAACCAGATTTCCGATTTCTATCTATCCTGCTTTTAACTTAATACGTTTCATGCTAATGTGTACTAAAACGACATGATGGTTATGGTAATCCGCATATAAAAACAAACCTATTCAGTGAATTTTTATATATGCCCTATGCTTACTATATATTACCCAATGTTTTAATTTTTCTAGATTGTAGTGAGATCAGCATTATACATATTGTAAAAAGAGATGAGAAAGACACACGAAGCTGTCAGCTGTTACGTTGTTCGTTTGCGCAGCAAAAAAAAACAACCAAGTCAACAATAAAAATGTTTATTTATTCCTTCTATGACGTTTTCACCATAAAGCCTCATTGGAAGATTTATGTATCTTATATACTGATCAGCAGGATAGGCATCGACCTAAATAAGCTTTATTATGGGTGGGTGGGTTGGCAGGGGACTGGCCGGCTTGCCAAAGTGCAATGTCGTTACTTTGGAGCGACCTGTTGGTGTGTAAAAGGTCGTCAAGGGCGTAGGGCTTCTGCGTCTGAGCGGAACACACATCAAAATTTTGTTTTTTTTTTTAACTTAGTCCTTCTTTACACATAAAAAGACACACATTTACGTCTATACCATGTACATACAATATCTAATGCCTGTGTATCTGGAGCCGGGCGGCCACATCTGTGTGAAAACTCAAACTCCGACACGTACGTGGTTAATAATAGTAATTTATCTTATACAATAACATATATATACCGTTAGATGCTTGGTCACTCTGTGGGCAGTGGCAATATAGTCGCACAAAAATGCACATTTGTTTGACCTTCGGATGCTCGCCCAAGCATAGTTACGATGAGTGGCCTTTACAGGGAAAGAGTTAAAAGAGATGTTCGAACGGTAACAAAAGGAGGAAGGCTGAGGACAAATAACGGAAGCCACTCATTCCATATAATGATACACAGTTTCAACTGCGTGGTCTGTATTGTATAACTATGAATGATTCGCAGCATTCAGCCACTGTTAGGTGCGTAGCACGAAAAAAAAATAGTAGATAAGGTAGTATTCATTCCTTGTACTCTAAACATTCCCATAAATTCTTAATAACAATAGTAATAAAAACAGAATTGCCTTGTTAACCATTATTCTGTTCTATGGCGTTTGACGTTTGAGCACAGGGAAGATATCTTCCATTTTATCTGTTTTTGGAAAGCGGGGGTGGGCGGCATAGGTGGCGTCTTGTTGTTTTTTATCCTTTATCTTTTGACAAAATGCACGGCCTTCATGATAATCTAAGAACCAGGCAAATATATGTATCGCGTAAATCCATGATCGATAATGGCGTTTAGTGTCATGAAAAAGAATCTGAAAAAAAGTTGAGCTACATTGCTCGTTCCGGATCAGCTGCTTTGCGAATCTACTATATTACACGGACTAATGGTGCAGCAGAAATACCAGAGGTAAACACGCATTATATCTTTCGGCCAAAAAAATCAAACTGCGTCTTTCATTAGTATTATGATTGCGTTTTGTAATTTTTTACAACTGGCAAATCATAGATGAGCCTTGGCCAGCAGTTGAGCTTTGCTGAGGCCTATCGCGTTGCGTGACGGACTAGAATTATAAAATTTTAGTACAGATACGATTGAGGCAAACACTCGTAATGGCTTATATTATTCACCGCGAGGGGAAACTTAAGTTACTCTTAGAATCAATTTTGTCAAGCGCCATCTGCAAGAGAAAATCAGCTCTATTGTAGCCAACGTCATCCGTTTGCTATGCGTGATCACAGGACAGTACTCATATTATGTGACGCTGACAACAATTAACTGGAATACCATATTCTTTCGTATTGTGGGCTACCGATGAATCTATGAACTATG